TCTTGATATTTTCTACCCAATGAACCCATTCATGCCAAAACAGTATAGTACTATATATAATATATATAGGTTTTTTTTGCTCCTCATAAACAAGTAGTAAAACCAGAAGCAATCATGCTTGCTTTGAACTACACTGTCATTAATGGAACACTCCAGGCACCATAATCAGTACAGTCAGGTGTGCCCTAGAGCTCCCTCTCTATAAGGAGTCAACGCATTCTTGACTCTGTATGCCTTCCACCTCCACTACCATTTCACAAAAGTCAGAGGTTGCTATCCAGGAACTTCCATTAACTGATCACCCTGCATTGAAAGCTTAGCTCAGGAAAAGTAACCAAAGTTGTTGTTGAGGAACGCGGGTTTTCGCAAAACAGTAGAAGAGGTAAGGAGGTTCCCTAGCAGACCCAAGGTAAGAAGTTTAACAATTCAAAAAAGGGAGAGATGTAGGGAGGGGTGCCAGACCACTACTGACACAAAACCTACTACAGCAAGCTGTGGCTCTGTGGTTGTGCTGCCTGGAGCATTCATTTAACTTTAAACTACAATCTACAGTATTGAGTGTAGGATTGGGGGGTTAATTTTATATGTCTATGCTCAGGAGGAGGATGAAGTTAGTAAGTTAAGAGTAAAACTATTTCCTTGTTTCAAATGTGTACCCTGTGGTCACTCTGCCTTAAGAGGTATAAGCTACACCTTGCTGATAAGGCCCCACAAAAGCCAATACAATCATACAGGTTTGCTGTATTTCATATCATGCAGATGGAACTTGTCAGGATTCTGGATCTGAACTATCGCCATGAGTGGGGATCAGTCTGTTATGCAAATGGTATAGCTTATCTCAGTAATGGCCCAAGTGAGCTCTTTTTTTTTTAAAGTTTGACTTGGAACTATCCACAGAACAAGCTGTCAAGGTTTCTCTAAACATTTTGCATCTAGACTGCCCTTATGGGTGGAATAGGCAAGGTGTATGTAAGGTGTATGTAACGTACTCCGACCAAGTACCTTCTGTTGATGGACGCTTCCAAGCCTGGGCCGAGGACCACAAGCACCACACTGGACACCAAAACCACCACAGACTCCACAACCGCTGTAGCTTAACAGGAGTAGAGGTATAGGTTGGGGAGTCCCAGTCCTCCTCTACTCTTGGGGGTGTATAGAGTCTGTTTTGCTATTCTGTGTCTCTTTCTAGCCCAAATGAAGTCGTCTATCGCTGTTTGCAGCATTTTTAGGTCTCCCTTAGTTACTTTTATTGGTAGAGCTTGGAACAGAAAGAGGAGGCGTGGAAGGAGATTCATCTTGATGCTTTGTAATCTCCCTATCCACGATATAGGTTTTTCATGCCATTTGTCCAAATCTTTTATGAGGATATTTATGATGCGCTGGTGATTTTGCGCATATAGATCTTTGGGGTTGATTGTCAGTTTGACACCTAGATACTTAATAGGTCGGGGGCTTATGTGCAGGTTAGTGAGTTGTTTTAACCATGTGACGTCTGTCTCCGTCATTCCTATCGGCATTCCCACTGATTTGTGTAGGTTGATCTTGTAACCCAAGACCTGAGTGTACATTTCCAGGAGTGTAAGAAGATTGGGTTAGTGAGGGTGAGTAGTATGTCATCTGCATATGCAGAGACTTTGAATTCTTCCATTGCTATCTTTATTCCTGTTATCTGCGGGTGGGATCTTATTAGGTGTAGGAGTAGTTCTAGGGCAAGAATAGGGGTGAAAGGGAACAGCCCTGACGTGTTCCTTTTGTGAGTTTGAAAGGGTGCAGGGGTGCCCCTCTTAGTACTGTTTGCACTCTGGGGTTGGTGTATAGGGCCTTCACTGCTGTTATAAAAGAGTCCGGCATTTGTAGTTTTTGTAGTAGAGCAAACATATAGTGCCACTGGACTCTGTCGAATGCCTTCTCCGCATCCAGGGAGAGGACCAGAGCAGGCGTTCGGGTTTTCCCAGCCCACCACAGTCGCCCTCTGTGTATTTTCGTGAAGTTGTCTGGTGGGCACAAAGCCCACCTGGTCTGCATGTATGTAATGCGTAAGAAGGGAGTTCAATCTATTTGACAGTCTCTTAGCATATACTTTTATGTTGAAGTTTATGAGTGAGACGGGGCGGTAGTTGGTCACCTGTGTGGCGTCTTTATCTTTTTTTTGGATGAGTATGATATTTGCGGTTGTAAGGTCTGGCATTGGGGCCTCTCTTTTCGTCCAATGTATATACATGTTGGTCAGGTGGGGTATGAGGTCTTCTTTAAAGGCCTTGAGGAATGCCCCATCAAAGCCGTCAGGCCTTGTTCCCTTTGAGTCCTGCTATCGCCCTGTCCACTTCCTCTGCATCTATAGGGTCCCCTAGGGGTGCTATCAAGTCTGCTTTGAGTTGTGGGAGCTGGATTCCATCCAGGAATGTTGTTATTGCTGACACATATGCTTTAGGATAGGATTTGTAAGCATCTGTCCTTGTTTGTTCCGTATCGTGGCTATGGAAGGGGCATTAGTTTTGGGTCTAAGGGCTCTCGCAAGGACCGTGTCCATTTTATTAGACTTTTCATAGAAAAGTCGTTTCGTCCTCCTAAGTTCTTTGCTGATGTCATCTATCATTAATTCCCTGAGTAGTCGTCTGATTTCCATTAGTTCTCTAGTCGTGGTTTGAGTGATCGTCTATTTGTGCTGTCGCTCTGTTTTTCGTAGTTGCCTTTGCAAGTCTGCCAGTCGTTCATATTTTTTTTTTTCGTCGGGTCGCTATCTGTATGAGGAGTCCGCATATCACTGTCTTGTGGGCCGCCCATAGGGTTGTTGGGGATATGTCTGGCATGTCGTTAGTCTGGAAGTAGTGGACAATTTCTGTTTGGAGATCCTCCTTGATCTGTGGGTCCCTGAGAAGGGAGGCATTCAGCCTCCATTTCCACTGGGTGTTGGTGCTAGGGGTTTTTAATGTGAGTGCGATGACTGCGTGATTTGACCATGAAATCTGGTTGATCACAGAGGTCTTAATCCAGGTCATGCCAATTTTGTTGGTGAGAAATAAATCTATGCATGAATAGGTTTTGTGTGTTGCTGAGTAAAACCTATAATCCCATTCTCCTGGATGTTGGAGTCTCCAGGGGCCTAGTAGGCCCGTGTTTTGGATAAATTTGTGTAACAGTTTGTCTTGTCCCCCTCTGTTATGTGAGCGGGATAGGTGTTGTCCCCCACTGCGTTCTGTTGCTGGGCAGGGTGTTGCGTTTAGATCCCCCCCAGAAAGAGTATCCCCCTAGGGAGAGCTCCAATCAGAGAACCATGGGGTAGGGGTGGTCAGGGCATATACACTGATGAAGTGGTAGGTATTAGAATGCATCGTGCCTGAGAGTTCCACGTACCGGCCTTCCGTTTGGACCCCCATGATCTGTATGGGGCATCTTTTATGTAGGAGTATTTCTACTCCATTTTTTTTTAAAGGGCACTCTTGAAGCGTATGATGTTGTGTAGATGTGGTTTGTTAGCTGCAGCTTAGAGGTGTGTGGCATGTGGGATTCTTGTATGAATGCTATGTAAGCTTTTTGTCTGTTGATTTCCCGTAGGCGTAGCCTATGTTTGTTGGGGGCATTAAGTCCCATTAACATTTAGTGAGGTCAGTTGGAGGTCCATGTCGTGTTATTGTGTAGTGTATAAGTGTACTTACACTGTGCACGTAGTCTCTGTCGTGGGTCTGAGGTGCGTTCACTAGCATTTGCTCCGTCCGCCTCTCCCATATTGTAGCACCTCCTCCGAGGGGTAGGGGAAGAAAGGGGAAAAAAGGGGGGGTAGGTTGGGGGATAGGAGCATATAGACAGGAGTGATATAAAGTGGTGGGAAGAGAAAGAGAAGAAGAAGTAGAGGCAGTAGGTGATAGGTTATCTACTACCTGAGAAAGGACAATATGCAAATATACAGGTTAGAACGTTGCTGAGAAACAAGTTAACAATTTGATCTCCTCCTTGGAGGGTCTATATAACAATTCTGGGTCTTACAATTCACCAGGAGCTATGGGGGCGCACGTCCACCACACTGAGGGCATCTCCTCTAGTGGGGTGGAGGCTCAGCTGCCAAGCACCCTGTCGAGACTCATTTTCATCTTAAAACAACCATCACTGTTTCTTTTTGACCTTTGGGTATGGGGGGGGGGGGGCATAGGCCGCCCTCCTCCTGGTTTGTTGTGTCACTGTGTCCTGGGTACTTTTTGTCTTCTTGTGGGGGTCCAAAGGAACCACCAGTGCCCGATCACGCAGTGGGCCATCGTCCTAAGGCTCCCTGTCCACTATAACGGGTTCATCTGGTGTGGTGCCATTATGTTTCCTTTTAGGCTTTAGAGGGGTGTCGCAGGTCGGGGTCGATGTCAACGGGGGAGGGGGAGCCTTACAAGTGTATGCTCTCTTTGTGTATGTCTAGGGATTTGGTGAAAGGCGGTTTACATCTATTATGTAGTATGTTTAGCCCTGGCACTAGCTGTATGTCAATCCCTCTCTCATCCATCCCCCTCCACAGTCCTCTGGGTCTAGTTATACAATGGAGCCATATGTTCCACTGCTGATTCGGCGTTTCCCTCAGTAGGTTTATTTATTTATTTTTTGGCTTTGTCCCCCCCCCCTTTTAGACAGGAGCTACTGTAGTTGTTAATTGCAGACTCCCAGTGATTACCCTATTGTACACAAGACTTGGTTGGGGTGTGAGTTGCCATATTTAGGTATTGCACGTACATTAACATATAGCAAGTTATCATAAATATGTCCATTACTGTGCGCGTCCCACCCCTCCCTCGTTAGTCGCCATATACCGTGCCATTCTTAAGGTCAGTCCCCAGTTTAGCTATACAGATTGTCCGTGCAGCAGATAAAGTTAATTATAAAAAAAAAATTTTAAACTTACGAAACTAATTATTATTAGGATATTTATAGAGCGCCGTCAAATTCCGCAGCTCTTTACAATGGGTGGATGAACAGACATGTAGTTGTAATAAATAAATAAAATTGCTAATAAAATTGCTTGCATGTGGGCCCGTCTCCCGGCCAGACCATCGCCTCAGGTCCCCACTGATGGATTCAGGTTGCTCTGGAGTGTCGTCCATGCCAGGTCTCTGGCAGTAGAGCCAGTCCCTCTTGGTTGTTAAGAGGTAGCTGTAGTCGAGGCCTGACAGGAACGCCTGTATGTCCATAGAAGGTAGCAATATCGAGGGCTTGGGGCCATTGAATACGATAATCTTGAATGGGTAGCCCCATGCGAAGCGAATGCCTTTCTCACGCAGGAGGTCTGTGATCAGTTTCCAGTCCCTTCGTCTTTGCAGCGTTGCCAGGGTGATGTCTTGGTACAATTGTAATTCTGTTCCTTTCCATTTATATGGTTGCAGTCTGCTGCATCTGAGGTAATAGTGCCATTTTATGATAACGTCTTTGGGGGGGCTGTTATTAGGGCCCTTGGCCCAGAGGGCTCTGTGGGCTTTGTCGATCATCCAGAGGTGTTCCGGTATGTCTGGTAGACCTTGACGGAAGCAGTTCACTAGGGCAGTTTCCAGCTCTGCGTCGCTGACAGTTTCGGGAAGGCCGCGGATGCGCAGATTATTACGTCGAGCTCTATTGGATATGTCCTCCAGTTCAATTTCCAGATCCGTGATCCGGTGCCTCAGGGTTTTGGAGAGGGTTGCGGAGCTGTTATGAGCTGAGACTAGGCGGGCCACGCGCTGCTCGACCACTGTGGTGTGAGTACCGATGGCGGCTATTTTGGCCTTGACTTCCACCACTGTGCGCGCAATTTCTGCCGCTAGGAATCCCTTCACCTCCGTAAGTGATTGTAATATTGTGGCATTGGAGGTGTCAGGAGGGTTCCCTTTCAGCAGTGCCGGTTCATCTACCTCCAGTTGTTTAGTGGTCTGGTCCGCTTGGGCGCCACATGCTGCATGCCTCTTTGTAGTCAGCATCTCTGCTACTGAGATGGTCTCTCTTTGGCTGGTTTTGGATGATTTACGGCCGGGCATCCATGTTAGGTACAGGGGCCCAGCTAGGGCCGTGTCTAGTACAGGTGTTAGATCGTTTGTTCGTGGTTGCAGCTGTTGGCAGGGCAGTTATGAGTCTCGGGTGCGGAGCTCTGTCTTTAGGCGGCCATCTCGTTCGGCGGTCAAACCCCGTCCCCCACAGGTTATTTATTAAAGTGAGAATTCAAAGTGAATTTCAAATTTAAGGTCACAATAGCTGAACTGTTTGCAGTTCAGATATTTTGGTCTTAAATTTAAAGGAGAAAAAGACAGAGACCCCCAGCGTGGAGGAGTGGATCCGTAGGGTGGAGGGCATTCAGGGGGCGGAGGCGATGCAAGCATCTCTACTGGGTAGGGGAGATAAACATGCAGAACTGTGGCGCCCGTGGTTTACATTTATGTCCAGGATTCGATAGGATGAATCGAGAGAGGCTTGCGGGGGGGGACCCGGGCCTTCGGGGCGAGGCCCATGTCTCTTTTCATAGCTAAATACTCTACCCTTAATCTTTTCCCTTCCTTCTTTTTTTCTCTATCACGACTCTCGTGATTACAATCCACCCACTTTCCTTCCCATATACACACACGCACAACCAACTTAACGTAGACACGCCACTGTCACATACCCCGAGGAAAAAACAAACAAGACACACTACCATTAGAGCTACAAAACACGGATATACAGTTAGAAAAGGTAGACCCACAAACAGATGCGTGGCACAAGGACAGACATGGTAGCACGGACAGGGAAACTATGATTCCCCACCACCTACCACAGACACTTTACCAAAACATAAGTTTAGCGAGTCCGTAGGGATCTGACACGACGCATAGCTACCTAAAACATACTGCATACGACGTCAACCTTCATAGGTTCCCACACCCACTACGAACACCCACAAAAGAGTTAGGGAGAGCTCGTGGCTGACCGATCACGTAATATAAATGCACCCTGAGGGGTAACGACAGGAACTATGTACTAGTTAATCAATATAAACTGAACGTTGGTTGTCTAGATTGCCATAATGTAAAGTGGCAACGGAGTTGTTCTCAGGAACGAATGTTATGCTTGTGCCTTATTTGAACATATTGCAGCAGATACACACAGGTCGTACGTGACCTCAATCTGCTGAACACTGAACCGAATAAGCTGTACTACTATTACTCTATCTAATAAAAACAGATTTACAAAAAATAAAAATAAATTTAAAGGACACTTTGAATTCTCATTTTAGTGGATAACAATGTTAGAATTAAACCATTGTGTGTAATCTGTGATCACTAGATTACACTGCAAACTATGTAATGGCACTTCCATATTGCATGTGCTATCATTCCCACCTCCATGCAACTTCAAAACCATTCCAAATAGGGCAATTTATACATAAATGGAGAAATTCCACGATGTTAGATGATTTTTGAAAAATATTCATGTGCCCTGAAAGATAATCAATAAGCTTGTGGAAATGACATGACTAAAGTTACGGAAGCTATTTAGTAAGCATTGTGGGAATTCTGTAAGATCTTAAATGGGAAGGAATCCATGGGAATTAAATGTAGAAGGGGAAAAAAAACTATGGAAAAAAATATGAGGAAGAGAATGTCTTCAACAAAGGATAAATGTCCCAATATTTGTGACAGATGACAGTCCACAGTTTAGTTAAGAGGATCATAAACAAAGATCTTCCATTGTTGTCTGCTGATAAAAAGTTTAACCCCTTAATGACACATGACATGTGTGACATGTCATGATTCCCTTTTATTCCAGAAGTTTGGTCCTTAAGAGGTTAAAGATGTTGTAAAATGTGGATGTGGAATGGTTGCTAGGTGGGCTCCTACCTTGGGGTCGATATTATCATCCTCTTTACTTATATCGGCCTGAAGCATTTTTTTAAGCTTGTTAAACAATAATAAAAAAGGCACCTATAAATGTGGCAAAAAGTTATACATGAAATATGGATATATTTTACTCAATGACAGTTTTACCTCTACGATATATAAATTGTAACACTATCAATAACATCTATTTATTAAGATGCACGTTTTGCTTTAAGCAGTATATTGGACAAAAAATGAAAGATAGAATGAGAGGACAAGTTAATTAGATCTTAAATACTAATAAGTAAAATCCACCTTAGCAGTATTTAAAAAAATGCAATGGAGCAAATGTGAAATATCTTCAAATGCAAAGTATACAAAGAGCTCAAAGTGCTAAGCTTGTAAACATAGGTTGTGATATAAGTAAGTATCTGAACTATTTGGAGACAAAATTGATCTTTTATTTGTAAACAAGGGTTCTTACAGGTTTAAATTATGTCTTTCATGTTACTTGCTTTGTGTAAGTGGATTCCTAAAATGCTAAGCCTTAATCTTGGTATATTGTCCCTTGTGTAGTCAAGTGTGATCCCCTTTTTGTGGTATTTTGTTCTTAACCATTATTCTTTTTATATGGTTTATTCTTTATTGTATTTTACTTCATATTTGTCCTGGAGTGTTGGCTTTTTACTTCTGTGCTGCTCACTAAACACCTTCCACGATGGGTACACCGAACCTCAGTCTACTTTAAATGAATGAACGAACTGGATTTGCCTGGAGGTTTCCAAAGATAGGTGGGCACACCGTTTGGGTTTTGTACATTTTAGATAAGGCTAAATAAACTTCAGTTTAAATTACTATAGTAGTACAGATTAAATTAGACTAAATCAGTAATGCAAGAAATTTGATATTTATGTTTTAATTAATAAGTCCTAATCACAATCAATATTTGTAATTGATCCATAAGGTTTGCCAAGTACGGGAGGAAGGAATGTGTTTTCACAAGCTGAAAATTCAGCAAATTCTATAGTTATATGAAATTATTAATACATTATTTCTGTTAGCAAAGATGTTGCTGATATTTAATAAAGGAAGTAAAATGAAAGTAAAACTATCGTATTAATAATAATAACAATATTACTCAGAATCATTAAAACACTCACTGGGAAGCACTCATTATCAAATTATATGCAGTGTGGGCTCAAGATGGCCGGACGTGTTTCTACTTAGCTCCGGCTGTTTACACTCAAAATCATGTCTAAATTGAGATACAGTGACATGGAAAATCTCCTGCTGAGACCACAGGCCAATACTACAATTGCCTACACTGATACCTGCTTGACTTGATCCAGTCCAATGGGCTGTCACGCATATTGGATTCCATGCCTTATGCATCTGTTAACTGGTGGAGGTGGCCAATCTCCCATGTTGAAGAGTGCTGCCCACTGATGACTCTTTCCGTTACCCCCCAACCTCTCAAACTAGTGGATAATATCCCAGTCCCCATCGGGGAAGGCAACTACTATTTAAAGGCATGAAAGCTCTCCTTCAACTTGAAAAAAAAAACTTGTGGTGAACCAAAGATGGCCACCACTCTGACTGGCACTTGTCCCACTGGGAAACCAAGTTCAATGTGGCCTTTGAAGCTTTGTGTGCAGCATTTTGGACCCAGATAGAGTGCCACCAGCCGAGGCACATACTCATCCTCTTTCATTTGTTAAAACAATTTATACAGGAATACTCTGTTTAAGCTGTGCATTATAAGTGATAAGTTGCACAAGAAGTATACACCAATGATGAAAATGAAAAGTGTTCTGGTGCTGATAAGGGGTATATACAGCTACACCCAGTGTCTGTAATCACTGAAAACAAGACACAATACACAGTAAAAAATCAAAAAAATTAGGAAACTCATTGGACAGAATTGGTCACACGCACTTCACAGAGCCATGTGTATCATGGCATTGAATAGTATATAGTATATTTCTCCAGTATCCTTAACCCTTGCACCGCTCACCATAAACAGGACGCTGGAGCGTGTGGTGGGTATTGGGCACTTGACTTTAATGTCTATCTGTCTATAGATTTTGGTGCAGACCTCCATCTGAAATCTAGTAAAATATTTAATAGAGAGAGCATAGATATTTCTTTGTTTTACAGCTTCTTCATGGTCTGCTTGTTTTGTTTTTAGAAACGCTATATAAAGTAGATATGTAAGAGATTTCTATTATATATATTCTAAAACTGAAAAAGTAAATGCCCATATCTTATTTTTATTCTAATAGCATTCCACACTGCTTTATTAGATTATGTGAAAGCCTTGAAGGGAAAAGTATCTGATAATAGATTAAAACTATTCTCTACTGAGTGAGAATATACCGTTTATAAGTTAGACAAATATATTTATCTAATGGGATATAAATAAGGTATCATATAATGTGAGAGTATAGATTGTGTATATCAAATCACATTAAATATTTGAACAGATTAATTAATTAACCATGTAAAGTAATATAGAAGATACATGATAAAGTCTGACCACCAGAAATGCCTATATCATTATAGACTGTTTTCTATGTTTTTAGGACTTTATACATAAGACATGAAGTCCAATGTGAGCACATTCATCGTTACATCAGAATTGGCAAAACTCACAATAGAAAGTGTTTATTCTTTAATCACACTTTAACTCATAGAATTTCCAACATTTTATTGGAGTTTCAAAAAAAAAAAAAAAAAAAAGGAAAACTTACTGACATATTTAGAAATATTGGATTAACTTTCTAAAAAAGAAAACTAATTTTTGAAGAGTGCTAAGACCATTTGACACAGAACAGACATTTAAATTACTAAACCAGTATGAGCAAACACTGATTTTCATATTTTATTTTTACTATATTTAATTTTTATTAAGGAAAAAAAGGCCTCTCTTTTGTGCACTGCAACATCTGTAGTTTACCCCATAAACTGGATGCACTGCAAGCCTGGTGTTCCCATTAAAAAACAAAAATCATTGTGCTCTCAGAATTATGGTTACCAACTACAATACCAGACATCGCCATTGCAATACAGGGTTATTCATGTTTTAGAAATGACAGAGCAAAGAGAGGAGGAGGCATTGTAATTTATGTTGACAATTCCATAAAGTTTACCACTTTACAAAACCTTAGCCCTTCTGCCACCTTTGATTTCCTCTCTGGCACAATTGAGATCCCGTGCAGTAAATAAATCATTGTTGCTGGAATCTACCGCCCACCTAGCTCCCCAGTCCATTCCCTATCTGACATAGCCCATCTCCTTAGTGAAACCATAACTCAAAACCCAAAATGTGAACTGTTGGTCTTTGGAGATTTTAATATTGATTGGCTGAATCCTAAAAATAATAGTTCTTGCACGCTGTTTAAGACTTTGCAGCTAGCGCAATTAATCTCCTCCCCAACTCGCATAAACATTAAAAGCCATAACCATACCCTGCTCGATTGGGTTCTCTCCACTTCTCCTGATAGAATCCAGGAGGCCGGTGTTCTCCGAAACAGTTTCAGGAATCAATGTTTTGTGTACTGCGTGCGCAAAATAAAGGCTATTAATTCCTCTCCCAAGGTTAATATAACCAGGTCCTTCAAAAATTTTTATATTGAATCCTTTCTTAATGACATCAA